CATACAAGACGCCGCCGGAACACCACCCGAGACGCGCCATGGGTGTGTTGCTGCTGCTGCATTTGCTGCTGTTTCCTCTTCCTCAAACAATATAATTCCTAATTATTCCTTTTCACCTGATCCTTGTCATTTTGCAGCTTTCCCTTATATCCCTCCTTTCTATCACAGCTGACGGACGCAACGCCACTGGCGTGTTCCTATATCTGTATTTGTTATTTGTTTCGTGTTTCTCAACTAGTGCAACTCCTGAGGGTACTTATCCGAAAAAGAAATAAAAAACTATCAAACTAATTCACTTTTAATTTGGGGTTTCTGTGTTTTTTTTTCTTCTCTCGGCAGACATTCAGCCTCCGTTTCAGGTTCGCTTTGCTTCATTTTCGGTGGAGTCGGAAAGCACTGGATGGGCTGGGAAGTTCCTTACTTCGGTATGACGAAAAACTAGTATATTTTCTGTATTTTCTGTTTTTTTTTTATCTCCAATGCAGTATTTTGCAGAGGAATAACAAACAGTGAAGAAAATCCTCTTCTCTGAGTGTCTATTTTATTTTGGTTTCTGGTTTCTTCATAGTTTAATCGACGAATCTCTCTGCGATGCTTCTCTGCAGACATGAATGCATACGATATTGATGTGTCAACCTGGTTCTCTATCACTCTTCTTTCTCCCCTGGCTGGCCTGCCGACTCATGGCCTCGCAGTTGCTGCGGGAGATCCAAGCACGATGGTGCATATCTTTGCAGCCGGTGAGCAGCAGAAGCAAGCAGCAAAGCTCTTTCCTCAGTTTCTTCCTTATCTTGCATCTACACCGCATGCATGCATGCATGCATGCGTGCAATGAAATAACTTTCTCTTACCGAAAATTCCTCTCGTACACATCCAGTAAAACACAGCGCAGCGCCTGTTCTAGTGGCTGACAGTTGAACCCGTGAACGCACTTGTTTTTTCTTGTTGTTTTTCGTGATGTTTATGGCATCAACAGGTGTTTTATCCTGTATAGAAAGCTTTTTCGTAAGAAATAAATTGTGGGATTGTTTGTATGTATTATATGCAGGGATGAATACTTGGAACGACGGCTCTATATATCATTTGGCTGCAGTGTGCAGCACCCTGGATATATCTGTTCTTGGCCAGGGCATCCGACATGCCAAAGTGGTTTCCTCAGACAATAGAAAGCAGACGGAAGAGCTGCAGCTGAAAGTAAACGAGCTGGTAGCCACCGTAAGAGAGGAGGAAAAAACACTTGGTTCTATGAGCAGCAGAGTAGATGAGCTCGCTGAGCAGTGGGAAGATCTTACCCGCAGCATAGAAGATACCCACAGCAGTGTCATGAAGCAGATGGAACTGGTGCAGCAGCTAGAAGCACAGGCGGCAGCATTCTCTGCTGAGCTAGCAGCAAGAGAAGCAGCAGCTACTGCAAAGTGTGAAGAACTGAACCGCCAATTGGAATACTTGCAGCTCAGAATCGATGAAACTGAACAGCTTTCACAAGTTGCATCTTCTCGGCAGCAATCTGCAAGTGATGATGGAGATGAAGACGAATAGAAGACGCAATCTACAGACCCTCCTCTACCAGTACCAGTGGGTAAGGGTTTAGGGTTTAGGGTTTAGGGTTTAGGCTTTAAGCTCCTATATACACGTTCTACCGTGTACCATGGAGCTGGCAACAGAGAAAAAATCTGTTGCTGTTCTCTTTGTTTGATTTCTTTTAGACTTTTTGTACAGCTATGCTGCACTGGACGCC